TGCAAGTTTCTTCATTGAAATTACATAAAAGGTTCACGTTTGTCACTAAAATTAATTTATTTCATCCGTAGTCACTTAGATTAATTCAACAGTTCAAGTTTGGTCACTATTTGTTAGTCTTCGTTAAATTTTGCTAACGTGGCAATCAACTCTAATAGTTAACCGTTAAATGAGTGACGTGACAATTAAAAGATATTAAGAATTAATATTTACTTTTCCACCTCGTTATCAAAATTATTAAAAAATAAAATCTAATTACCTAGGGAGGACTTACGAAAGTGGTTCCAACTTTTCAATGCCTCGCCGGCTCTTTCTCCGCTGCCAGCACTAACTCTACCGCGGTCTCCTTCTCCAATCCTTTCATCGACGACCCCAACGATGTTGCGGACAGGCAGGGATGTTGTCACCCGTACCGGCTTCCCTGCTGTCGATATCTCCGAGTTTCTTATTCACTCAACCTTTAACGCTTCGTTGGCGGATCAAATTTAGATAGGATTTTTCCATGACCTCAGCTTGGCAGGGCAATTACAGAGCATACGGAATTTCTTGGAGATCAAGCGGTGTGGAGCTCCGCAGGAAGGGGTCTGACGATGTCGCGACAGATCTTTGATAATGTGTTGTGATTTTCTTTCTTCTACTCTCTAGGTTGGTCCCATTTCAACATCAGAACATGATGAGGATGTACAATAAAGCTTTCATCGGTTGTCATCCCTCTATTTCATTTGTGAGGTGGCACCCTCATATGTTATTTCATGGGTGTGGGAGAGAGTTTTCCTGATGAAATATCCCACTAAGACTAACTCCAACCCAAAAAGCTATATTTAGCCTCCCAAGCTCTCAAATGTGCATATTTGCCTCCCCAAAACACCTTTTTGCTCCAACCCTAAACCTTCTAAATTTGCCTTCCCAACTCATAACCAACCAATCAAAAATTAAGAAAGTTAAAAAAAAAAAGATGATGTTGGAAAGTGGAGGGGCCCAGCGTGTGGGCTTGTGTTCCATGGTTGGTCCCCCACCTTCTCCTTGCATATCTCTATATGAGCTTCTATCTATCCACCCCCAAGCCCACTTCTCCAAATTTGCAAGCCAAATAATTGGTGGGTTGGAGATGAAAAAAGCCAAAAACCTCCCTTTCTCCAAATTTGCATGCTTGGGTTGGAGATAGTCTAAATGAAATAGGTGTGAGAGAGATATAAGGAATGAGTGGGTCCTGCTATCTGAAATAAGCAAGAAGGAGATGGGGATGAGTGGGTCCGCTCACTCTTTTGATAGAAAGATGTAGGTTAGATAAAATATTTAGTGTATTAAAAAATTTGTTAGGCCCACCAAATGAAATAGAAAGTCAATTTCATTGATGTAGTTGAAATGAAATAGATAAGTGGTGAAATTGTAAAAGTAGTTGATGTGGCGGTAGGGACCACATAAGAAATAGAAATGATATTTCATGGATGTGGATGGTCTAAGAATATTTAGATAAACTTTGGATTAGTAGTGCTCGACTTATACATTGTATTATATGATAGTTATGTAGCCTATTGTAAGTTAAGCTAAACTTTTAGTCTAAAGCAAACAGTTTTGATCCACAACAACCTCATTTTGGCTTTAACTTCTTTTTGTACTTTATTATATTCTCCTCCACAAGGTCCTGGACCAAAGCAAACAGATACCCACTCCTTTTCATTCTTTTTTTACTTTAATCCAGCAACAAATAAAAAATAAACCTCTACTTAGTTAACTTGGGATTTTTAGCTCTTTAAACAAACTATATGATCTTTTTTTTTATCTATGTCGGAAGAATAGAAAGATTACTGTCAAAAGAATTTTATTTTGTTGATAGTTGATTTGTCTTCTTCTAAATCTTCCAAATTTCTAAAGCTACATGTGATCGTTTATGTTTTCAGGTATAGAGATAGTGAAGAATAGATTGCAAAACAAAATAAATGATGAATTTCTTGTTAATGATTTAATTATTTATATTGAAAGAAAGATAACTAAAATTTTTAGTTCAGATGCTATTTTGAGAGATTTCAATGATCTCAAAGAATGTTGTAGGCTTTAAAAAATATTTATTTTATTTTTATTTACATTTATCTATTTTCGGCCCATCCGATGTTGAAATCTTGGCTCCGCCCCTAAAGCTTTCAAGGCAGAGTTTGAGTGTCCCACGTCCACGTGAGGCGAGGAGGTTGATCTCGAAGCTTTTGATGGTAGGGTAGGTAGGCTGTGACGAAAATGGAAGAACTCTGGGGAATCTATCCGCACTCGGGGAAATCGAGTTCTAGTACTCTCATCCCCTCTCCAATATCTGATCGTCCCAGAATCCGAGTTCCTACTAGTCGTCGTTGTCGAACAAACTTGATCACCCCCAACGGAAAGAGTATGAAGCTTGCGTTGCTGCCGCCATAAGGTTGAAGACGATGGTGGGTAACAAATGGGAGTGATTGAAGAGAGATAGGGGGAAGAGCTAGGAGTCATGGTGAGACTCCGAACTGGAACACATGATTCCATACTCAAATTTTGGAAATCGATTTAGCTCTCTGCTGAAACCTGAATTAAGAAGGGTGAAATAAGCACCAATCACCTCAAACTCTGCAGTGAGTGACTTTCAAGGAAGTTGGAACTCAGAAAGTACGAGCCTTTGTGAATCCATAACTAACTCAATTAACAAAAGATCTCTAGAGAAGCCACAAACCGAAGAAGGTTTCACGAAAAATTTCATTCTCATTACCTGAGCTTCGGCAGTCTGAAGGCGGAACCTATACCGGAGTAGAGCCGTCCTCCCTCTGAGCAATTAGATAATTAGGTTTATTTTTAATAATTATGATAATTGGCAAGTCACTCATTTACGGTCAATTACTAGAGTTGACTAACACGCCAGTAAAATTTAACGGAGATAAATGGAGAGTGATCAAAGTTGAACGGTTGAACTAATTTAAGTGACTACGAATAGAATAAATTAATTTTAGTGACAAACGTGAACATTTTATGTAATTCTAGTGATCAAACTTGCAATTTACCCCAAAAAATAATATATTTTAATGAATGTAAGATATGTAACAATGTCACCAACATAATTGTAGAAACCAAACCATTCATGTTGGTATGTAATTTGAACCCACCCCATAATATATTATCCGACCTGATACTTGGTCTTAAGCCCACCTAATTGTCAGCATGGAACTACGGATCTCCGACTCTATATATACGGATTTAGAAAGGCTTCCTCCAATAATATATATTAGAGTTTTGTTTACTTTTCTCTATTTCAAATTTCCTGCAACGAGAGCGAAAGTAAGAAGCATATGTTTGTCTTTACAATTAATTGTTTATTCCGTATAAAAATGTCAATATCAAGATTTGATCAAACAAAGACAACAATCACAACCAATTACACTAAATAATTTTTTTAATACATTTTTAATACAAAACATACACGACGTGACATTCTGAAAATCAGAGAACTTTTTCCATCATGATTAGCAAGCTCACTAATTCTATCGTATGTATTTTAATGGTGCTTGATAATGAAATTTCCAAAGGAGAGTTTCATGTAGTTTCTCAATTCTAAAATCATTTCTCTCTCCTTAATTTTCGCTAAAGGTAAATTGGTAATTGGCCAACATAGTAGAAACTAATTCTATTACTACATGTTGTGTCCTTGCATTTTTCAATTTATATTTAAATTTGCACATTTTTTATCTTTGTTATTATCTCTTTCTAACTTCCTCTGAAATTCCCTCCATCGTGCAATAGTTTACGCCCCTTTCACTTCACAATACAAGGCCTCCCTTGAATATCAATCTTCCGATATCTCTTGGCACTAGGATTTTATTTTTGGGGATTTAAACTGGGCAAGGACAAGATTTCAACTCCGATATCAATCCATGGTGAATAGAATGGAGTTAAAAAAATGGAGGTGCATAAGGAGGATTAAAAACTGAATTCTTGGTTGAAACATACGCCTCTTGAGATTGAAGATAGAGTGTATACAAATTTTATTGTACAACAGAGAGTGATGGCTATTGGATCTTTAGGTTTATGGTTTTTGAAGCTATCGCAACCTAATTCTATCTCAAAACGAGGAATCATCGATTGATTTACAGAAGTAGGTCGGTCGATTCTTTACTCAAGCTACTGGAACTAATAGAGGAGTATCTAATTTGTTCCTTAATACTTTGATCGAGTCTATTAGTATATTGGAGGCAACCCTAATTTTGGCGTTTGATTTGATCTCAAGTTGTGATGGTCCCTCTTTGCTGAGTTGTTAGCATATGGTTGACATGAATCAACAACTCTTCATTTCTTTTTGATTAGTGGCATATTGTTCCTAAAAAGAGAGCATTGAATTTTTTTTGTAGGATTGCGAGGTTTAAGATTTAGTTCCAAACTATTTATGGTTCGTGAGGGAATTTTAGTGCGCTTTTACACTCTATCTTTCTTGACAATCAACTAACCAATAACACTTTACCAGGTATTTAATTATCTATATATTTTTTCTTTATGTATTATCTCGATCGAAGGATTGTCAATAAAATTAAATGAGTTGATAAACTTAAACGTAATATGAAAATATATTCTTTCTTTATGTATCATCTCGATCGAAGGATTGTCAATAAAATTGAATAAGTTGATAAACTTAAACATAATATGAAAATATGAATAATCAAATATGAATATTCCGGCCAACGATCCGGGTTATAAGCTAGTCATAAAAAATGGCGAAGTATTACCCAATCTGATCCGTACTTGATGCGAGATTGATATGAATATTAAGATACTTATCCGGCCCACACGTTTGCCATCTCTATATCCATAGGTGTAATTTGACCGGGGGCTTTTACGGATCTAAGATTGACGGGCCACCTGGAATGTGACAAGCTTGAAACACCAGCTAGCTTACTGATTTGTTTGGGCATTTTATTTATTCTATGGGCTGAGAGAGCATAACAGGATTTGGATTGATAGGCCAAGGCCCAAGGGTGGTCCACATTTCCCACAGACACGTGGAAGTCTGGGGACCGAACCAGAGCCATCTACCACGACAGTTAGCGCGAGAGCTGCCTGCCTGATCTTCTCCTCCTTCCTCCGTGGAAGTAGTACCGCCATTAAAATTTTCTTCTAGGTTTCATTAATGGCGAGCCGGTGGGAAAGAGGGCGATACCATTGTAGTGACTAATGACACGAGGATGAAGTAGTTCCGTTGCGTAGTCTGGAAAGTTGTGAACCCTATCTCCAAGGGAATGAAGCGTTTCGCGGTGAGCCGCCTTCCGTCAATGGCCAGGCCGGCAGGGCTGGCTCTGAGATTGATGAGAAGTGCTGCTTTTGCATCTGCCAGTGCGGCCAAACCAGAAGGCGGAGTCTCTATGGTTCAGGGCGCTTCCAGAGGAATCGGCTTGGAATTCGTGAGTTCGTTGTCTATTGCTTTTACCGATCCGAATTTGAATGTGATTATGATTTCGTTGCTGCTTACAACTTACAGGTGAAACAACTCCTGGAAAGTAACGACAATGGCCGAGTTGTAGCTACTTGCCGGAATCCCAATGGTGCCACTGGCTTGCTTGAATTGAAGAATAAGTACGCTGATCGGCTCAACATTTTCCCGTTGGATCTCACTGCTGAAAATACCATAGAGGTTTTTGTAATCCTTCCCTTTCTAGCGCTTTTAGAGTGAAAGATTAGGACTTTGCCTCTTCTGGTCTCGGATCTTCTATATGGGTCATTGGGTTATGACTATTTGGCTTGCCATGTGATTTTTGGGGTCTCATATTTCAGGCATCTGCAAAGTCCATTAGGGAACAGTATGGCTACCTGAACCTTCTCGTGAATGCATCAGGGATCCTGTCTATACCAAATGTGTTGCAACCAGGTAGCAGTCTGTATGTTGTTTTGGATACAAGTACATGGTACCTCTGGAGGGAGTTAGTTTCTAATTTCTTTCGCTTCCAGCGCAGAGACGACGTTGAGCAAAGTAGAGAAGTCATCGTTGATGCTTGCTTATGAGGTCAATGCCGTGGGACCTATTCTAGTGATCAAGGTATTCTGAAGTCATGATCCAGTCATTCTGGCTGATTAGTGTCGTATGCTTTCAGTTTAGCTGAATCATTCGAGCTTAGGAATGTCATCCATCCCCTACTCGTTCCTTAGATTGCTAGTGAAATTACTTCATATCAAGATATAAAATGTATTGAGAAATGGGGGAAGAATTCAGTATACTCAGGAGCCACCGTTGTTGCCAATTTGTATGCAGCACATGTGGCCTCTGCTGAAGGCTGGAGGAGGGCAAGGTAGGGAAAGAGATTTTTCAGTTGTGGCAAGTTTGAGTGCCAGAGTGGGATCCATTGGAGATAACAAACTTGGGGGTTGGCACTCTTACCGCAGCTCCAAGTCTGCCCTAAATCAGTGTATGGCTCCTCTTCTGAAGCTCCCTAGAGCAATTCGTTGTGTCATGTATTGACATCATTAATTGATTGTTTACAATGCTTGCTGGCATTCTGTTTCGATGCAAAACAAAACGCAGTGTCCAAGAATGCGTCGGTGGAGTTCGGGCGAAAGAAGGATCCAATAGTATGCCTGGTCCTTCATCCGGGGACTGTTGATACCGACCTTTCAAGACCATTCCAGAAAAATGTCCCGAAAGAAAAGCTTTTCACCACCGAGTTCTCGGTGCAGAAGCTCCTAAGCATCATCAACAATGCAAAGGCGAACGATAATGGCAAATTCTTTGCCTGGGATGGCCAGGAAATTCCTTGGTAGTCTCCCACCTTCATCCCAGTGCCCTCGGGCACAGTTTGTTTGGTCACAGTCTGCATCGCAGGCTGCCTTTCTTCCAACATGGCAATTTACAGCTGCTGATGAATTTATAGTTGTGAGTTTGGAGTTTTATATTTTCTGCCTACATCATGGGACTAAAGATGCGTAATAGACTAATAGTTCAAGAATCGAGAGAAAACACCCTATAGTTTAGAGATCGTGAACTATTTTTGATGATTGCTGTCCTGCCTCCATGCTGCTTCTTGCTCTTGCTGTTTGGCCTATTTAACGTTGTATGGTTTCTTTCTCTCTGAGGGCATCTGTTAGTGTTTGTAATACTCTCCTGAGCTTAGCAGTTTGCTTTCTTATCGTTTTCCCTTATTCTTTTGCCATCTTGCAGGGGTTTCCCCTGCTTTTGGCCTTTGCTTTTCCATGTATGTTCCTGCCTTACTCTTATGAATAAAATGGTTTCACCCTTATATAAGGAAAAAGCTTTCTTATTATTTGTGTTCGTGAAGTAGAAAAACATGATCCTCTGAAGGATCGTATTGATACGTTCCCCTCATCTATGTTTTATTCAACTCGACACTGGCTAACTGCTACAAACTGGTAAGGGCCGCAACCGAAGTCCCTCCCCCTTCTGATCCACACTCCACTTCGTCTGCTGCTGTTTATTGGATCCTGCAGATACCAAGAATTGTCGACAGATTAGTCGAGAACAGAAACTTGAAAAGGGCTTAATGAAAGGAGAACATAATGCGAATTTTATATATTTTTTCATATGGAATTACTGACGTCTCGCAGTTGGTGTTGACCGAGACAGTGAACCCGACATTGATCTTGCATGCTGAAGGGATCCTGCTCAGGAACTGATCCTTCACTCCCATGGACTTGGAAGTGGCCTTGAGACACCGACAAATGGCCTTCTTGTCATCCAACGTTCTAACCATCCCTGCTAGCTGTTTCAGCCCGGCACAGCAAGCAGGGGCAGGGAACGGAGCATGGCCGGTGCCGAATCCGGCACAAGTAACGGCCTTAGAGGTAACAGTAGGGCAGGTGATTCCGGCTGCTTCGCTGACGTTAGCTACAACGAAGAGGAAAGAAAGGAGGAAGAGAACGGGTAGTGCCAAGTTCTTCATGTTAGTTGGCTTTTTCTGTTGGTGGCTGTATAAGTTAAATTAGTTGCTTGCTTTTGAGTTGCTGTGTGTTGGAGATGCGGCGAGTTGCCGGGAAGAGTGGAGGAGGCGGACGATTTATAGAGGTGGAATGGAGCCTCGTGGGTTGGGATTGTGGTAAGAATTTTAGACTTTTAGTTTCCCGATGAGAAGTGATATCGTGTTGCCGATTGGCAGTGATAACTTTCCCGAGGTGTTGCAGCAGAGAGCTCATGAATAATGGCTATAAATTTCAGAATAGAATTGCACGGTACATTGACATCCAATTGTGCTGCTTTTATATTGAACTCAGTTATCAAAATTTGCAACCAATAGACTTTATTAATATCGTAATACCGTCATTGAGAATTTAACTATGACTTGTATTACGTAAAAAAGGTGGTAGGATTTCACATTCTCATCTCTTCTTCAAATCGTTTCCCTACTTAAATTAAGTTGAATGAAAGGGAGAGGGAATGAAAGGGAGAGGAAAGAAAGAAACCAACTTGATGGTATGGGTTGCAAACCAAACTTGATTAGGAACATAATTCAAAGTTTAACACTTGCCATAAGAACATTAGGAACTTAAACTCTTAAAACTACTTTATTCCCATAACTTGTCCATATGAATGCAATCATTTGACACTTTTCATAAAAAGTCGAGGGAGAAGGCATGCTTAGACCGAAAATATGAAAATCTCTCTTCTAAAACGCATAATTTCCAATACCGTCGCCCGTCAGAAGCAGATTCATCTCCCTCCTTTGTTGTTCGTAGCATCATCCATCCACCGCTCCATTCTTCTCTACTGCTAGTCTGCTAGGCCAGAAGGCTGCCGCTCCTTCCTTTACGTGCGAAGCATCATCATCGTCTTTTGGGTTTGTTCGATTTATAAGAAGAATAGAGTGAGATGAGAGGGATAAATGGCCTGCTAGGAAATTCGTTGTCGCGGGTTTGGTGGAAGAAAAATGAGAGATAAAGGAGAAGGTGAGTCTAGTGCCTAGTGGTTCATTTTTAATAGAAGAAGGATTGTACCACATCGGGGAGAATAAGTGTTCCAAAATCCCATCCTTGTATACAGATGGGTGTCATCCTGCCCGTAACTTATTCAAGAAACTAGCTGGTGCCCGACCCATTGGCCTGGATAATTTTTATCATTTGCTTATGTATGAAAATTAGTTTAGTATCAAGTTTTTTTAGTTTCTTCGGTACATTGTGATTAATACATAAATATATGTACTAATAAATTTGATATATTTTAGATTAATCCGTGTGATATTCATGAATAATATAGAATAATATCAATTGCATCCCTTCTTTTCAATGCAAAAGGCATTTTTTGAAAGATAAAATTAGGGGAAAAAAAACATCTAAACAATCTACTAAAAATTGAACTTGTACTTCTCATTCATTTTAATAATTGTTTATGTCAAATCTAACAAACAATACATATATTGTAGTTGCATAAAGAAGATTAGGTATTCAAGCATTGTTGTAAGAATCTCACTAAAAAATTTGGAGAAATCAACGATCCGTAAAATGTTGTCAGCTTCTTTAAATTGGTTACTCATCTCTTTAATTTTCTTATAGCTCAATTAAGATTTTTCTCCAAAATAGGTTAATGATATAGGCCAAGACTTTTGACCATCCATATGTAATTGTTTGATGAATTGAATATGAAAAAACAATCATCAAAAGCAGGTGACATGTTATATAAGTGATAGTTCATGAAAATAAAAAACTGACTAATTTTAAGATCGTTCAAAGAGAAAATACATAATTTTTGAATAATTTATTCGTCATATTAAGCATTGAGTTTTATTTTTGAATCTCTTCATCTGGTTGGTCCGGTGATAGTTCTCGATTACAAATTTATATTGTCCAATAAGCAATGACACCCTAGGCATGTGGAGTGAGGCACAAAATTTACAGACAATTGTTGCAGTAATTGACTAATTAAGATTAATTACCTATCATTACTGCGGGGATTCTGCTATGCCGGGACTGTACCCGTGCCGCCCCTTTTTAACATGCAATTGTTGGTGTTTTTCTTTTTCCTTTAAAAAGTTACCGGTTATTCTTTTGTAAGCGGTATTGCCCATTTCATGATGTTTTGATTTTTTTAACGGAGGTTAGTATTACAATTTTTTGTTCCGTTACCATTACAAATTTTAAACCTTAAAAAAATGGGGGGGACCCCTTGATATGATCTCAATTTGGCCATTAAAACAACTAGAATTGATCGATCATGAAGGCAAGCTAGCCACGTTAGAAAACACTGATTTTTGCCTAAGTGTTTATGACGATTTCAGGTACCCACTTTGGACAAGCATAACTCTCAATTGGTGTGATAGAAATTCAAGTTCTTTGGCTTGTAATGAAGAAGAGGAGTTGCTATGTCGATTGGTGTAGTTTCGAGTTCAAGGGGAAGCCCAGAAGCTGAGTTTTCAAGGTGATCAATGTGCTAGCTCGACACTGGAGAAACTGCCAGATTTGCCTAAGTATGGAGGCAGAGTTGGGAAGGCATCTTTGGAGCTCGAGTTGTGGAAGATGGGAAAGAGTCGAGCTCCCAAATTCACACCCCATGAAAGCTGGTTTCTTCTAGTTTATCGACATGGTGTTGGTTGATCGAGGTGATGTCCAGGAGGGTTCGAACGAGGGGGTCAAAGATCGCTTCGAGATAGAAAATTATGCCTTGAAAACTAAGTAATCCGAATCCTAGTCGGATTAGGATTAGTAGACAGTTTATTTTAATTGGTTTCCACGTCTTGTTTTGGTTCCTTTTCCAAGTAGAATTGTAATTGAACTTCTTTAGACGTTGTTAGGCATTGCTAGGTCTATTTAAGAGGAGTTGATTCATTGTAATAGTTAGTTTTTTGATCAATTGAATACAAATTTGAGCTTTGATTCATCTCGCTAGTTGCGTGAGGAATTGAATGCGATTGCTTGGACGATTCTAAGCAATCGTGAGCTTGTATCGATTATTTCATCACCCTGATCGTGGCCAAGCATCGAACTAAAGGTTTCGAGCCTCTTTCACTTGTGAAAGTTGCACGAAAACTCTCCATCCCAAACTACAAAACAACTCTGTTTTGTGCAGGTTCTTGTTTGAGACAACGATCCGAGGTTCTAGACCTCTTGGCTGCGTAGCTTTGATCATAAACTCTGCCTTGGGGTTTATCAAGTGGCATTATCGCCTGGTTCAAGCACAGTGGACAAAAACGACGGAATCTGGTGCTGAATTGACGGTTTGGACACGATCGAAAGGTCCTGTCTCCAGCGACCCTGCTCGTCAACAGCGAGGACCAGAGCAGAACAACGAGCTGAATTTTGAGGCTCGGGTCGACAATCGAGCAATGTCTGGACAACAAATTGACATACAAGAGTTGATGCGACAGTTCGACGAAAGATTCACCCAATTCCGGCAGGAAATCGATCAACGATTCGACGCAATTGCGCCGCGGGAAAACAGGGTACAAGAAGAAGAAGCTCGTGGCAATATAAACCCAGTAGGCAATCCGGAGTTACTGGGACGAATTGAAGAGCTGGAACGTCGTCTCGTAGTGGCGGAACCTCATCCTGATCGCCAGCAACGAGGACGACGCGATCATCACGAAGTAGAGCCAGCAGTCCCACCTGGGATCAAGTTAGCCGTGCCGGCGTTTCACGGCACGATGAATGCCGCTGCGTATTTGGACTGGGAGAGGAAAATCGTTCTATTCTTCCAGTGCGGGCGATACACCGAGCAACAGAAAGTGGCCTTGGCCACCTTTGAATTTACTGATTATGCTGCGCAATGGTGGGAGAAGACGCAGCTCCGACGTCGGCAAAATCTTCAGCCTGAAGTCACGACATGGGCAGACTTACGGGGCCTAATGAGGGATCGCTTCGTGCCTGCTTACTTTCAGAGGGAGCTTCACGAAAACCTACAAGCAATTCGGCAAGGCGGACGAAGCGTAGAGGAGTACTATCGGGAGCTGGAACTCCTCCTAATACGAGCAGACGTCAGGGAGGATCGTGAAGCCACGATCGCGCGATTTCTTCACGGGTTGAACAAGGAAATCCGACAGTAGCTCGATCTGCGAGCTTTTGTTGACCTGGAAGACGCTCTTCACCTTGAAATTAAGATCGAGAAGCAGCAGTGATCATCCAGGAAAGTCACGCCGGGAAACATACTAGTAACAGAGGCGAATGCCGAAGTAAATTCCCCGCAAGTGCGAGCCGACCTCGGCAAATTGCCAACCAGAAACGTTACTCCTACCTATACTGAGCGTTCTGGTGGTATACAATGCTTCAAATGCCATGGACGCGACCACAAGGCCAATCAGTGTCCTAATTTGAAACATTGGTGATCAAAGACGGAGCTTATCTCACCGACGAGGAGCAAGTGGAATCCGGCGATGAAGACAGGACTGACGAGGAGATGGAGATGGAACCTACCCCAGGAAGGCTTACTGGACTCAGTAGAAGAGCTCTAACCGCCGAGGTATCACCCGATTATGACCAGCGGAGCAATCTATTCCATTCTCGGTGTGAGGTAGCAGGAGAAGTCTTGTCCGTCATCGTCGACGGAGGCAGCTGCGCCAATGTTGTTAGCCAAGAGGTGGTGCAGAAGCTTGGCCTCACCACAATCAAGCACCCCGAGCCATATAATCTCCATTAGCTCAACGACTACGGCGTCATTTGAGTAACCAGACAAGCTAAGGTGAGCTTTGACATCGGAGGCTATCACGATGAGCTTCTGTTCGACGTAGCACCAATGCAGGCGGCTCATCTACTCTTAGGCAGGCCTTGGCAATTTGACCGTGCCGTCACCCACGATGGAGGGTCCAATTGTTACAGGTTCAAAAGCAATGGACAGAAGATTCGCCTGAAGCCTCTGTCACCGGAGGAAGTCCGAGCCGACCAGAGACAGATGGAGGAGAATCGAAGGCGAACCAGAATGGACTCCAATGGTAAGTCCACTGGAAAGGCTACTTCTACTAGTCTTCTTTCTAGGTGATTCATGTTAACTGGCTACATGAAACCCCGCAAACCACGTCGCCGACGACCCTGTGTCACGGCACTGGAGCAGAGCA